CTTACATTAGCATGCTGAGGGGTTGAAACTGGGAAGAATTTGTTTATTTTGGCCCCTGTTGCGAAAATCGAGAAGGTTCTGTATCAAAAAGCGTTGCAATAGAAGTTGTATTTCGGTAAACGGTCTTTTATAATAAAAGAAGTCGATCAAACAAAAAGAACACTGAAAAAGATAGAAATTTTTTTTTAAATTAAAAATGTGGAAAACATCAGTTGAAAAGGGAAAGTGATCTGAACATATTTCGCGATATCGAATTCCAATAATTTATAGGAGATCATAGCGACGTCTTTTTTTAATTGTCAAGTATATATTAGAAAATTATTATGACTACCATCGGGTACCTCCGCTAGTTATAGATAAATTGAACAATTATTTTTCTTATTAAATATATATATCCGATTCGATAAAAATAAATGATAAAAAACAAAAAATATTAATATATTATATTTAATAGAAAAGAAAAGAAAAGATATATAAATAATAATAATAAATAAAATATGAGTTTAAATAAATTGTTTATTATTGATTTTATCTCAATTGAATTGGTTTTAGTTTTTTCTAATTAATTAACTATTTAATAATGATTATATTAATATAGAGAAGATTTTTCTTTTATTCTCTAATTGATATTGACAAATCTTAAAAATTTAATATTATTTTATTTTTCTTAACGATAAATAAAATCTTTTTGAATATATTCATAGATATATATTTAAAATTAACCAACACATAATAATATTTATATTCATTTATTTGTTTAATTCTGATTGAGAATCGTCATTAGAATTCTAAAACAAGAATAAAAACAAACCCTAATGATTAATGTCGCTAGTTATCTAAACTTGATTTTTATTTGTTTGTTAATATAACCGATAAGAAAAAAAAAACGTCAAAAAAAAAGAAAAACTTAAATCTATATATTATTGTTCGACGTCATTTTTTCTTTTTCTTTTTTTATTTGACATAAATAGAAAATCATGTCTCAACCCTCTGAAACATACGGTAAATTATTCAATTAATTAGGATTATTTATTTATTTATTTTTATTTTTTAACTAAAGAATATTTATTAAAATTTTTAATAATTGGTTGTGCATCAACAGGAAAAACATGTATTTTACATCAATTTATTGAAAATAAATGTTCGATATTATAGAAATTTAAAAAGTAAATATTTTTTCATTATTATAGAATTATTTTGTTTTTAGTTAAAACAAATATAACACATACAATTGGAGCAGAATTTGGTTCGAAATTAATTAATGTTAATCAAAAAAATGTTAAATTACAAATATGGGATGTATGTTCATATAAATAGATTAGTTTTTTTTTATTTTTTATTTTTTATTTTTTATTTTTTATTTTTTATTTTTTAGACTGCTGGACAAGAAAGATTTCGATCAGTTACACGTAGTTATTATCGTGGTGCATCTGGTGCTTTATTAGTTTATGATATAACAAAGTAAATTATTTAAAATAATAAAATAATAAAATAATTAATATTATTTATTTAAGTCGAGAAAGTTATAATGCTGTTGCTAATTGGTTATCTGATGCTCGTCAATTAGCAAGTTCAAATATAGTTATTATTTTATGTGGAAATAAAAAAGATTTAGAAGATCAACGACAAGTTACTTTTATTGAAGCTAATCAATTTGCACAAGATAATGGTTTGAAATTTTAGAAGGTTTTTTTTTTTTTTTTTCTTATTTAAAATATTTTATTTAAGATTTAATTTTTTTTGAAACATCTGCAATGACAGGTGAAAATGTTCATCAATCTTTTATTCAATGTGCACAAATAATATTAAGCAAAATTGATTCAGGTATTTTAATAAAAATAAAATAAAATAAAAAGTTAAATAACACCAAAATATGTTTATTTTCTTTAGGTAATATTGATCCATATAAGATAAATTCAGGCATTCAATGTTTTCGATCAATTGCTAATAATAGATCTCAAAATTCTCTTTATAATCATCAATTGAGAGATAAATCAATAAAAAGCTGTGCTTTATGTCAAACATAATTTTATTATTTTATTTAAGATTTGACATTTATTTTTTATTTTATTTTTATTTATTGATAAACAAAAAACAAAATTGTTTTCTCTATGTCAATATATATCATATAAACACATTCCTTTCATCATATTTTAACACATTATTTATCATATATGCTGCTATTCCAATGTAAATGCTTTTTATTTTGCTCTGCTTTTTTTTTTTTTGTCAAATTTCTAACGATTGCTGATATTTTATTTCAATTGAAATCAATTCTAAAACTTAAAAAATCTTTAAATAAAAACAAAACATATATATATATAGAATTGGAAATGTTGTTTTTTTTTCACCATCTATTAAATTTCAAATGAAATAAAATTTGCAATAACATTTTTATTAAGACAATTATAAATTGTTCTATCACTAAATTTTCTATTAGGTTGATTTATTATTTCAATAATCTAATATTTTATTTGTTGAGATTGATTCAAGAGATATTTATCAAAATCAATGATCAATATTTAAATATTATTGTTTATTTATTGTCAAATTCGGTTTTATTAAATAGAATTAATGATTTATTGATCAATATTATTTAATAAATAATAAATAATGCTGCTCGATTTATTTATATCAATATCCATATATATAAATAAATTATTTATCTTAGGTAAAATTCCAATCGATCAAATTGGTGTTGGAATATTTTATAATGATCGACGAACTCGTCGTTTAACGGGAACATTTTCTTCTCAGGCAGATTTAAATCTAAATATTAACAAATCAACTTGTTTAATATGTAATTAATCTCAAATATATATTATTATATTTAAATGTTAATTAAAAACAAAGATAAATTTCTTGTCTAGTTTTATGATCAGAAACAATTCGTTTATACGATATAATGAATTAACATTTATTTTTAAATATTATTATTTTTGAATATATTATATCGAATATATAATTATTAATCAGCGTTTTATTGAGATAAATATTAAATAAATAAATTATATATATTTATTTAAATTCATTGTCTATAATTATAGAATGATTCGATTGATAAGATAAATAAATAATTTCTTTATATATTAAAATATTGAAAATATTTAATTGAACTAAATAATATATATTGATATAGAATTATATTATACTAGCGAGAACCCGTACATACTACACGATCGTTTTTTGTGTTATTCAACGTAAGTTTTACGGGAAGATGAGAGAATTATCAGGGATACAATTGAAGTCTTTATTTCTGTTCTTTGAAAACAATTTATTTGCATAATTTTCATTTTATTTTGAAACAACACATTTACAAAATTTACAAAATTTCTTTAAAAAAATACTTTTAGTTTTTTGTCTTTCATTCTTTTTTTCTTCTTTGATGACTTCTACCTTGATAGACGATAGGGAGCGAACTCGTGAAAAAGCAACATATAGTTGTTCATGACGTAAGTAAAGTTAGCACCAGATTCGAGTATTTCTTGTCCGGATTCGTTTTCTTACCTGTGTTAACTCTCTAAGCACTTGTAGTAGGTGCGAAATTTTACGCTCTATCAAATGGTACTACTTTCAAGGTGGGTCATCGGGCAAAAACCACCACTTTTCCTCGAAATACTCATAAATTCCCTGTGTAACAATAACGAACATGATGTATTTCTTGTCCAGATTCGCTCTACGACTTGTGCTGAGTTTCTAATTGAGTGTATTGAATGCAGAAATAAATTCTCTATCCGATGGTACTATTTCCAAGTAATATCATCGGGCAAAAACCAGGGGTTATGCCTCAAATACCGGGTCCAGCACCCTATCTACGGTGTATTTCTTGTCCGGATTCGCTCTACAACTTGTGATGAGTTTCTAAACAAGTGTGTTGGATGCAGAATAATATTCTGTATCCTATGATACTATTTCCAAGTAGTGTCATGGGGCAGAAACCAGGGGTTATGCCCGGAATACAGGATCCAGCACTCCGTCTCGAGTGTAATTCTTATCCGAATTCAGTCTACGACTTGTGCTAAGTTTCTAATTGAGCGTGTTGGATGCAGAATTAAATTCTCTATGGAATGGTACATTTTCAAGACTAGTCATGGATCGAGTTTGGCGAATTGCACCCCAACTACTGGTTTGGAGGCCTGTTTTAACGGTTAACTTTGCTGAGGAAATTTTTTGTGTACAGTTCCAGAGAGGAACAATCGTAAGAAGACGAGTCTGCTTAGGGAAAACTGATAAAGCGTTTGTAACGGATGCATAGGAATATGAGAGTGAGAGTGATGCTTTCTGGATTGCGGTTTTTGTTTATTTTGCTGTTTATTGAAACTGATTGGAGCTTTCTCTTTATGTTTTATTTACTAAAGAAAGAGCATCTGTGCAAAAGTCTATGAAATAAGGAGCATAATTGGAAACGCGTCACTAATTTTTAGTTTTTCTCGTTGAAATAATTTTCCATGAATCGTGCAATAGTGAACGGGAATAATATCCGATATTCACATGTCATGTATTTTATTTATTTTAGAAGTATCTACTGATTGATGAATATTGTCTAGGATAAAGTAATGTCGAAGAGTGCTGAGAAGAACAGGTAAGAGAGAAACATTGAGCCAAGTGATAAAAAAAATATTGTATAATAAGGTGGAAAAATCAAGGGGAGAAAAGCGGATCCTACTGGACCCTGGTGGATCCTATTGGATCCTAATGGATCATAGTGGATCCTGACGGAACCTGATGAATTGTAGAATAAATTATTTCAAGCGTACAGAAACGAGGGTGGAAAAGTTGATTTTAATGGATATG